ATCCCAGTGCCATCCCAATACTCATCCCAGTGCCACCCCAATACCCATCTTGTCCCCATCCCAGTGCCATCCCAGTGCCACCCCAGTACCCATCATGTCCCCACCCCAGTGTCATCCCAATGTCACCCCAGTGCCATCCCAGTGCCATCCCAATACTCATCCCAGTGCCACCCCAATACCTATCTTGTCCCCATCCCAGTGCCCCCCGGTGCCCCCCGGTGCCCCCCATGCCGTACCTTGACAGCAGCGATGCAGGACCTCTCGAGGCCCCGCTGGGTTTCGGGTGGCAGGAGGGGCCCCAAATCCTGCGCCTGCAGCAGCGCCCCGATCTCGGGGTGCCCCAACACCTCCCTGTGGGCACAGGGACAGCTGGGTGCCAGGGGGGTCCCATGGGTGGCATAGGGGGGCATAGGGAGCTATAGGGTCCCATAGGGGGCAATGGGTGCTATAGGGTCTTATGGGGGGCATAGGGAGCTATAGGGTCCCATAGGGGGCACTGGGTGCCAGGAGGGTCCCATGGGTGGCATAGGGGGGCATGGGAACTATAGGGTCCCATAAGGGGCATTGGGTGCCCAAGGGGTCCCATAGGGGACTTGGGATGCCAGGAACGTCCCATGGGTGGCACAGAGGGGCATAGGGAGCTATAGGGTCCCATAGGGGGCAATGGGTGCTAGGGGGGTTCCATGGGTGGCACTGGGTGCTATAGGGTTCTATAGAGTCCTATAGCTGGCACTGGGTGCTATAGGGTCCCATAGGGGGCACTGGGTGCCAGGGGGGTCCCATGGGTGGCATAGGGTGGCATAGGATGCTATAGGGTCCCATAGGGGGCAGTGGGTGCCAGAAACGTCCCATGGGTGGCACAGGGGGGCATACAGAGCTATAGGGTCCCATGGGAGGCACGGGTGCTAGGGGGATCCCATGGGTGGCACTTGGTGCTACAGGGTCCTATGGGTGGCACTGGGTGCTATAGGGTCCCATATGGGGCATAGAGTGCCAGGGGCATCCCATGGGTGGCATAGGGGGGCATAGGGTGCTATAGGGTCCCATAGGGGGCATTGGATGCTAGGAGGGTCCCATGGGTGGCATAAGGGGGCATAGGATGCTATAGGGTCCCATAGGGGGCATTGGGTGCCAAAGGGGCCCCACAGGGGGCACTGGGTGCTATAGGGTCCCATATGGGGCATAGAGTGCCAGGGGCGCCCCATGGGTGGCACAGGGAGGCATAGGGTGCTACAGAGTTCCATGGGAGGCACCGGGTGCTAGGGGGGTCCTATGGGTGGTACTGGGTCCTATAGGGACCTATGGGAGGTACTGGGTGCTATAGGGTCCCATAGGGGGCATTGGATGGCAGGAGGGTCCCATGGGTGGCACCAGGTGCCATGGGGTCTCCAACACCCCATTGGGATGGGTGCTATGGGATCCCATGGGTGGCACTGGGTGCCATGGAATCCCCAACACCCCATTGGGATGGGTGCTATAGGATCCCATGGGTGGCACCAGGTGCCATGGGGTCCCCAGTATCCCATTGGAATGGGTGCTATGGGATCCCATGGGTGGCACCAGGTGCCATGGGTTCCCCAACACCCCAATGGGATGGGTGCTATGGGATCCCATGGGTGTCCCCAACTGCCATGGGGTTCCCAGTATCCATTGGGATGGGTGCTTTAGGATCCCATGGGTGGCACTAGGTGTCATGGGGTCCCCAGAATCCCATTGGGATGGATCCTATAGAATCCCATGGGTGTCCCCAGCTGCCATGGGGCCCCCAGTATCCCATTGGGTTGGGTGCTATAGGATCTCATAGGGGGCACTGGGTGCCATAGGGTCCCCAGTATCCCATTGGGATGGGTGCTATGGGATCCCATGGGTGGCACCAGGTGCCATGGGGTCCCCAGTATCCCATTGGGTTGGGTGCTATAGGATCTCATAGGGGGCACTGGGTGCCATGGGGTCCCCAGTATCCCATTGGGTTGGGTGCTATGGGATCTCATAGGGGGCACTGGGTGCCATGGGGTCCCCAGAATCCCATTGGGATGGGTGCTATAGGATCCCATGGGTGGCACCAGGTGCCATGGGGTCCCCAACACCCCATTGGGATGGGTGCTATAGAATCCCCCGGATGTCCCCCACTGCCATGGGGTCCCCAGTATCCCATTGGGATGGGTGCTATAGGATCCCATGGGTGGCACTAGGTGCCATGGGGTCCCCAGTATCCCATTGGGATGGGTGCTATAGGATCCCATGGGTGGCACCAGGTGCCATGGGGTCCCCAACACCCCATCGGGATGGGTGCTATAGGATCCCATGGGTGGCACCAGGTGCCATGGGGTCCCCAGTATCCCATTGGGATGGGTGCTATGGGATCCCCCGGATGCCCCCCGCTGCCACGGGGCCGGCCGCAGCCCTACCTGGTGTAGGTATTGCTGTGCCAATCCAGCAGCAGATACAACTCCGGCACCGCCAACGGTCTCTGTGCCAACGCCACCAACTGCTGAGCCAACGCCCGGTGATACCCCTTGGCGTAGACCCCAAAAGCATCATAGCCAGCCGGGTAAACGGGCACCACGTGGCACCTGGCCATCCCCAAATCCCCCACGGCCCTTCCGGCCAACGCCGCCAACCTGGGTCCCAACCCACCCCCCACCACCACCTGCCCCAACCTTTCCACGGCCGCCCTCCCCACCGCCTCCTCCCAACGCCGCCGAAGCCCCCGGGGGCGACCGGGGATCCCGAAAGGATGCCGGGCATCGGCCGCTTCCTCCTGCTCCAAAACTCGGACCACGGAACGGAGGAGGGGATACGGCCGGCCCGACGGAACCGATTCTCCCACCACGGCCCAAAGCTGCGCCAAAAGGGCATCGTAGAGCAGAGCCACGTCGCGGGTCTGGCGGCAGGACGGCGAGGACGGCGAGGACGGCGAGGATGATGATGGTGGTGGTGACGGAAGGGAGGCCATGGCGGAGCACTCGGCTTCCAAAGCGATGATCTGTTCGTCGGCCGCCACCAGGTCGCGGCGCTGGATCAGCTCCAGGATCTCCAGCACTGCGGGGAATCCCAACGATCCCATCCCAACGATCCCATCCTAACGATCCCATCTAACGACCCCATCCCAACAACCCCATCCCAACGATCCCATCCCAATGATCCCATCCCAACGATCCCATCCTAACGATCCCATCCCAACGATCCCATCCCAACGACCCCATCCCAATGATTCCATATCCCAAAGTCCCATCCCAAAATCCCATCCCAACGATCCCATCCCAACGATCCCATCCCAATGATCCCATATCCCAAAGTCTCATCCCAATGATCCCGTATCCCAAAGCCCCATCCCGAAGCCCCATCCCAATGATCCCATCCCACTGATTCCGTATCCCAAAGTCTCATCCCAAAGCCCCATCCCATTGATCCCATCCCAATGATACCATCCTAGTGATCCTGTATCCCAAAGTCCCATCCCAAAGTCCCATCCCAAAGTCTCATCCCAATGATCCCGTATCCCAAAGCCCCATCCAACAATCCCATCCCACCGATCCCATCCCAATGATCCCATCTCAATGTCCCCACATCCCAAAGTCCCATCCCAAAATCCCATCCCAACGATCCCATCCCAACGATCCCATCCCAATGATCCCATATCCCAAAGTCTCATCCCAATGATCCCGTATCCCAAAGTCTCATCCCAAAGCCCCATCCCATCGATCCCATCCCAATGATCCCATCCTAGTGATCCCGTATCCCAAAGCCCCATCCCAATGATCCCATCCCACTGATCCCGTATCCCAAAGCCCCATCCCAAAGCCCTATCCCAATGATCCCATCCCAATGACCCCATCCCAATGTCCCCATGTCTCATAGACCCATCCCAATGTCTCCATGTCCCAATGTCCCATCCCAATGACCCCATCCAATGACCCTATAACCCAATATCCCATCCCAACGCCCATCCCAACGGCCCAATCCCAAAGACCCCATCCAACATCCCCAAGTCCCATCCCAACATCCCCATATTCGAACATCCCATCCCAATGGCCAAACCCAATGTCCATCCCAATGTCCCCATCCCAAAGACCCCATCCAATGTCTCCATGTCCCAAAGTCCCCATGCCAACATCCCAATCCAACATCCCACCCCAATGTCCACCCCAATGTCCTGAACCCAACATCCCAACCCAATGCACATCCCAATGACCCCATCCAACATCCCCAGTGTCCCATCCCAATGTCCCATCCCAACGTCCATCCCAATGACCCCATCCAATGACCCCATATCCCAACATCCCAACCCAATGTCCCCATACCATCCAATGTCCCAACCCAATGCCCATCCCAATGATCCCATCCAACATCCCCATATTCCCACGTCCATCCCAATGACCCCATATCCCAATGTCCCAACCCAATGTCCCATCCCAATGGCCGCATCCAACGTCCCCATGTCCCAGTGTCCATCCCAACGTCCCCAATCCCACACCCCCACACACCAGACAGCGGTTCCTTTCTGCTCCCCTCGCTCTCCCTCCCCTCCTCGTCCCCGTCCCCGTCCGTGGCCGCATCCCCATCCCAATGACCCCATCCCAGTGATCCCATCCCAGTGACCCCATCCAATGTCCCTACATCCCAACATCCCATCCCAATGGCCCAACCCAAAGTCCCCATACCAACATCCCAATCCAGCATCCCATCCCAATGTCCTGAACCCAACATCCCAACCCAACGCCCATCCCAATGTCCCCATCCCAAAGACCCCAGCCAACATCCCCATGTCCTAATGTCCCATCCCAAAATCCATCCCAATGACCCCATCCAATGACTCCATCCAATGACCCCATCCAATGACCCCATATCCCAACGTCCCAACCCAATGTCCCCATCCCAATGTCCAATGTCCCAACATCACAACCCAATGTCCCATCCCAATGACCCCATCCAACGTCCCCATGTCCCAGGGTCCATCCCAACGTCCCCAGCCCCACACCCCACACACCAGACAGCGGTTCCTTTCTGCTCCCCTCGCTCTCCCTCCCCTCCTCGTCCCCGTCCCCATCCCAATGTCCCCATCCCAGTGATCCCATCCCAATGACCCCATCCAATGAGCCTATATCCCAATATCCCAATCCAATGTCCCATCCCAATGCCTCACATCCCAATGTCCTGAACCCAAAGCCCAACCCAACGCCCATCCCAATGTCCCCATCCCAAAGACCCCATCCAACGACCCCATGTCCCATCCCAACATCGCCATATCCCAACATCCCATCCCAATGTCCCAACCCAATGTCCTGAACCCAACATCCCAACCCAATGCCCATCCCAAAGACCCCATCCAACGTCCCCATGTCCCAATGTCCCATCCCAACGTCCATCCCAATGACCCCATCCAATGACCCCAT